TAACATCGGGAACCAGAAAGAGGGTGAGTTGATTAATGCGTACGTGGCAGCGCTTCACAAGGCCGCAGCGTACTGCGAATTCCGAGACCTGGAAGAGCTGATTCTGGACCGCATAATTTGCACCGTGCGGGACATTACCCTGCAGAGGAGGTTACTCGCTTAATCTAACCTCGCTCTGCAGATCGCCTTGGACAAGGCCAGGGCATCCGAATCAGCCGCCAAATCTACTAAGACTCTTCAGCGCCAAAGGGTACCACAAGATGCGGGAAAGAGTACACACATACATCGCGGGGCTGCAGAGCCTGAGAGCTCAGAAGGTGAGGAAGATGATAGCTTCCGCATGTGCAGTAGCTGCGCCCAGCTGGTGCACAAATTCAAATCGCGTCTCCCACCTTACGCTAGCTGCGGAGGAGACCATGCCAGACTGGCTTGCCATTTCCGCAACGCAACTTGTCAGCGCTGCGACTGAAAGGGGCACATCACCAAGGTGTCCTGGAGTGAATTCCCTGCCACCACCTGGCAGCCTAGAAGCGCACCAAGCTGCCAACAGAGTCCCAACCCAGGGGCCTTTCAGAAGCCACCACGGTGCTCAGAGGGTGACAATAGAGTCAATCAGCCAAGTCAGCACCAGGCAGCCGAAAAAGCTGAAGGTCACAGTCCTCATCGAGGACTCTCCATGTGAGATGGAGATCAACACCGGGTCATCGCTGACCATCATGTCATGGTCTACCCTTAAGCAGGCTATCCTTAGCCTACAGAAGCAGCATCTTTGCACCCCCTGACATCCGCCTACGCGATTCCCAGAGAAACCTGATCCCCATCGTGGGCCAAAGCACCTTCCAAGTGAAATTCAAGCAGTTCAGAGGGAAACTCCCAGTGACAGTGGTCAGCGGCAACCTGCAGAGCTCCTAGGGCTAGATTGGTTCCAAACCCTGGACCTAGAAGTGACCGGTATCAATGCCTTGAAAGACAACGGCGCTGAGGCCATCTTTAAGGAGTTCGAGGACATCTTCGGCACTGGTCTGGGTAAGTATGTGGGGAGTCCAATTTCCTTTAGTTTGGACCCCAGCATAGCCCCAATTAGGCTAAAACCCGGGAGAGTACCTTTTGCTCTCCACCCCAAAATTGACAGAGAAATTGACAAGCTCATGAGTCAGGGAATCCTAGAACCGGTTGATCACACATGTTGGGAGACCCCTATAGTGACACCTGTCAAATCTGACGGGTCTGTCCGCATCTGCGTAGACTACAAGTGCACAATAAATAAAGTGGTACAGCAAAGCGCCTACCCTGTACCCATTGTACAGCACATGAGTCATTCATTAGGCCCAGGAAAAATCTTTGCAAAGTTGGACATGGCGCAGGCATACCAACAATTGTCCATAGATAGCACTACGGTGGAGGCCCAAACCATTGTTTGGGAACAGAGGTTTTATCCTATCGGTCGAAGGGTCTGACAGCTCCCTATAAAAGGGCTGCTGTCAGACTCAACCTTCGCTGGATTGTTCTCACTTTTGGATTCAGTAAAGAGCTGTTGTTACCGTTAAGTCTGTGTGTGCCTATCCATTACCCAATCTAACAGTGATCACATGATTCTGGGCCACTGAAACCATCATAAATATGAACAATTGCAAGCAGCTGAATTTTGATCATGTGACCATGGGGATGCTGCAGCAATTGTAAGTGTGAAAAACAGTTATAAGTCACTTGTTTCGGTGCTGTTGTAACTTTGAACGGTCACTAAACAAACTATTGAAAATCGAGGGCTGCCCGCATGTTCTCACTCATATATTCAATTTGAAATATCAAAATAAAAACGCCACTGTTATTGATTGTAAGAAATGTAATGACCAAATGGAAATTAAAATTAATCCCATTCTAGAAACAAAAGCCTCTAAAAATAATGAAATCCTACTAGCCCAGGATTGTCAAGCTCCCAGCCCATGGGCTGGATACGTCATGTGCTGGCCATGCCCACACCCAGTTTAGTGAAGGAGGGAAAGTCCTGAGAAGTCATGTGATGCTGCTGTGATGATGTGAGTTTGACACCTCTGTACTAGCCTATGAACTGTGTCACACATTAAACTGCAACTTTGCTGAAATGTGAAGAGTGACAGCCTACTGAAATGGATGTTAAAAATATTTCTTGTGCATTTGGATGATATAGTGAAACTTTCTACAATGCACAACTGGAATGGGAGTAAGAGATTCAACTACATATTGATATATATATTATATACAACATTTCTTGTAGTGTGCTTGATGTGTTCTATATCCCACTTTATTGAATTCTAGAAAGAGTTCCTCATTATGATGAAATGTATCATATTTGAGTATTGAGTATTGAGTATTGAGTATTGAGTAATTTATTTATATGCCGCCCTTTTCCCTGGGGGGACTCAGGGCGGCTTACAACTCGAAAAGGGTGGGAAACAAACAATTAACACATAAGACAGTACATCATTAAAAGCACAACATTCATACTATTCGGGTGGGTTACAGTCTTTAACCCCAGGCCTGACGGGATAGCCAGATTTTAAGGGCTGTGCGGAAGGTCTGGAGGGTGGTGAGGGTACAAATCTCCACGGGGAGATCGTTCCATAGGGTCGGAGCTGCCACCAAGAAGGCTCTCCTCCGCGTAGTTGCCAGTCGACATTGACCGGCAGATGGGACTCGGAGGAGGCCTAATCTATGGGATCTAATTGGTCGGGTGGAGGTAATTGGCAGAACGCGGTCTCTCAAGTACCCAGATCCACTACCATGGAGGGCTTTGTAGGTGACAAGTAGCACCTTGAAGCGCTTGTTTAAACTGTAGAAGTTGTTTCTTCTGCATATGCAGACATACAATGATTTATGCACATTTATATCTTCATTTCTCATAATGCATGACTAGAGCATATTTTATGTGTATCAGGTTTTAGTGTTCTTAATTTCATAGATAAAGATGTCTAAGAGATACAGTAGCAAAACTATTGAAGCCACAAGTGATTTCAAAAGGCTTCTGTAACTTCACTTTGAATGTAGGTCATGTTTATGGAAAGTGTAATTTTCCAGGTATTGTGTTTTCCTCAGAAATATTTTAATGCATTTTATAAACAGAGATGGGTGATGCCCTTAAGTATGAGGAATTATATCCTGTAATAATAGAATTATTTTTAAATGAACTTGGTTAAGATCAACAGCCAATGCCAAGCCCAGATTAATGATTTCTCATCAATATGAGTGTAGTCATCCAATTAATAAGCATTCATTTGCTATAAATGGTGAATAAGTAATCACATCTCCCAAACTGACTTTCATATCCCAAACTATGCTTAGTGCTTGCTAATGTCAATGTTCTGAGTAACTCACCCATTAAAAGCAGAAGCCCGAGGCAGGTAGATTCCTCAAAGAACATGTTTATTGGATACATCATATCAGCACAACCAGTGAAAACCAACTCTAAAAGTTCCTGTGGTTTTCACCTAATTAAAAGAGCAAAAATATCCCCTCCCAGATGTCACCGGTCACATTGTCGAATGAATATAGCTGGCAGGCTGCTTGGTCACTCCTCTCCTCCTTCAACAACTACCTGTTACGATGACCTTGGTTCCCACAGAAAACCTTTTTGTTTTGGCGGTTAGCCAGGCTATCTACTTTCCCCTTCTCCCTCTCAGGCTTCGTGGCAACTATGAGGCAGTACAAGATGGCTTTAGCCAGGTTAGCTTCAGAATTGACAGCTAGAGGACATCAGCAAAAGGGCTTCCCATAAAGTTTGTATTTATCTATTGGTTTTCTTCTCTTAATCTGCTGGTATGAAATTATTTTAAAAGCTATTTTCAACTAGGACAGCAATAACTTTGATGGCTGCACATACAAATGTGCTTGCAATTTTAAGAATAACAAATGAAACATTCAGCAAATCTCAAGGGGTGTACCAGTAAGGTACCCAATTGACTTCTACAATGTGCTAAAAAAAATGGTAGTTTGTTAGTTTTGCCTTAATCTGTTGTTGTCAGCATCACTTCATTCCCCTCCCAAATACCATGCCCCCCCTCCCCATTTCAATGGCAGCCGAAGCAGTAGCAAAGCAGAGGCTGACATCCGGCCCTCCTCCAGAAAAGGGCGGTCAGACCGGCAGAAACAAGAAAACACAAACAAACAGACGAACAAGACATGAAAGGGGAAAGGGGGAGAGGAAGAGAGAGAGAAGAGAGAGAAAAATGTTAGGAAAATGGCCAAATCAGGGCTTGTCAGGATAAGTAGAATAGAACTTGCGGAGCAGATGAGGGGCCCGAACATGGGACCCGTCNGGCCGCATTCTGGACTAGCTGAAGTCGCCACCCATTACTTCTTTCCTGATAGTGAGAACAATTAACCAGTGGGAGGGGTTACCTTCAGAAGTTGTGGATGCTCCATCAATTTAGGTTTTAAGAAGAGCCATTTATCCAGAATGGTACTATGGGGTCTCCAGCTTGTGCAGGGGGTTGGATTAGAAGACCTTCAAAATCCAACTCTGTTATTTTGTTATATATTACAGTACAGTTCTTTAAATCTTCTTTTTTTGGTATGCCCAGTTGAGGGTGGGATATAGTAGGTAGGATTCAGTGCCTATATTTGCGGAAGGCTGTGTGAGGCGAAATCAGAACTGCTACTTAGATATGTGAAGTCACAGAATAAAGTTAGAAAACCACCTTTTGTTCCTGTTGATAATCAGATTTTCATTTTCTATACAAGAAATATTGTAAATTATAAACTAAACTATTAGTTATCCATTGTAAATTAGTAATCAAATTATAAATCTAGATCAGTGTGTATTTATTTAAAAAGAAAGATTGACTTGGTCAGAAAATTATTAAAACTCTTTTTGTAAAATTAACTCAGTTTCCCTGTGGATATGTTCTTTGAATGTATTGAAACTCTTCGATTATGTGAACGCGTTTCAGCAAAAAATAAAATAAAAAATGATCTTTTCTGGTTTGTGCTTATACAATCTTCTTTTTTTCTTTCCATTGATGCAGAACTTTCTAATCCTTGATGAAGTTCCTCTGTTTAAACCACAACTCAAAAATAACATTGAAAACCCTTTTCTTAACCTACATGATTTGACTTGCGCCTGGGACAAGGTAAATCACCTTTATTCTGAATGGCAATACAGAATTGGTCCACTTTTGCAGACCCAACTAAAGGATGCAAAATTTGGAGATAGTGATCCAGTGGTGGGTTCCGGATCCTGTTGCAATTGATATGGTTGCAACAGAGCCCGGCGTCCACTACCTGAACGTGTGCAGTGCACGTGTACACATGCGCAGTGCACGCATGCGTCTTTACCTTTTGTGACACCTTCGTGAGCTTCCGCGATGCTCCAGCTGCTTGGTGGAGCATCACGCAGGCATCGTGCACTCTGTGCACATGCGCGGAAGCGCCAAAGAGCTCAAATATAGGTAAGGAGCTCAGGTGGGCGGATAGGCCCTCCGGAGCACCATACTGGAACGTACCGTACCGCCTGCAACCCACCACTGTAGTGATGGCTATCACTGGACAAGCAGCAGCTGTTTCCCTTCTCAGGTTGTTGTTAAACTAAAAGTGGCTTTTCTCCCCACTTCCAAATAAAACACATTCAGTAACATGGCAACCATCATAAATATGAGTAATTTGCCGAGCGTCTGAATTTTGATCACGTGGCGATGGGGTTGCTGTAATGGTTGTAAGTGTGAAAAATGGTCATAAGTCACTTTTTGGAGCACCGTTGTAATTTTAAAAGGTCACTAAATGAACTGTTGGAAATCAAGGACTATCTGTAGTACTTGTCTACTTACAACGGTTCGTTTAGTGACTGTTCAAAGTTACAATGGCACTGAAAAAAGTGACTTATGACCATTTTTCACACTTACGAGCTTTGCAGCCATCCCCATGATAATGTGATCAAAATTCAGATGCTTGGCAACTTTTTGGCCAAGCAAAGTCAAATTGGGAGGCCCGATTCATTTAACAACCAGGTTACTAACTTATCAACTGCTGTGATTCACTTAACAAATTTAACAATTATGGCAAGAGAGGTCGTAAAATGGGGCAAACCCCACTTAATAAATGTCTCACCTGACAACAGAAATTTTGGGCTCAATTGTGATCGTAAGTTGATCGTAAGGCTACCTGTACATTTTTCTTATATCATATGACAATGAGTGCAATTTCTTTTGTGGAGTCAAGATTTGCTGAGGTCAGTCTGCCCTCATTAGTGCCAAATCTTATTGCTCAGCATTGTGCCATAGTTTGCTTGAGCTGGTTAATTTTTTGGGTGGGATTTTATGGGCCTCCTTTTTCTTTGAAACATATTTATAAGGAACAGAAATTTGGTAGGTATGGTACTTTGTATTCCTTTTAAGGTCTGTTATGGCCTGCTAGTGGCCAGCGGAGCTGGCAGCAGATTCGGACAGTGAGGAGGTTGGGGAGGAACATGGGCCAGTCCTGGAGTCTGGGGAAGGCCCAGGCAGAGGGGGAGGAGGCAGAGCCATATGCCAGTTATCAGCTGCCTTCAGAGTCAGACNCTTCCTTCTTCTTTCTCCTCCTTCACCTCCTCCTTTCCTCTTACTTCTTCCTCCTCCTTTCTTCTTTCCTCTTCTTTCTCCACCACCTTCCTTCTTCTTTCTCCTCCACCTCCTCCTTTCCTCTTTCTCCTCCTCTGGAAGGAAACAAGGTGCAAAAGTAATTTTTCCACTACTCTGTAGGGGTTTTTATTATTATTATTATGCTCAGCCACTGAACTAAAGAATTTGGTCTCTTCTCGTGTGTTGGATCCCTTACTCTCAATTATGCTTCTTCCTCTTCTCCTTTCTTCAGCTCATTATCATTTAAGACTGGAAGGGTGGGTTCTCCCCCCCCCCAACTTCAGCCCCAGGAGTGCAAACAGTGGTCTTGAGTGACGCAAATGACATCCTAACAGTCCCTGGTGTCAAGTTTTCGCCAAGTCTTCCCTACCCACCCAATCTCTTCCCAGGGGGACCATTTCTCTCTCCTGGACTCAATAGAAGGATGAAGAACTGGGGAAGGGTCCCTTTGCGTTTCTCTCCTTTTCCCCACCCAAAGGAAGTGCAGGGTGGAAACCGGTGGGCGTTCACACGAAATGCCCTGCCTGCTCTTGCAATGACAAGACAAATAGTTATATGTGTGCTTCCTTCTTTTGTACACCCTATGAAAGACCGGGGGTGGGGGGGGTGGGGATTCTGCAGCGACTGGAAATTGTGGGTTGCCAACAGTGCAGCTTGCAGGCAACTATAAAAATAAAACAAAAGAGAAATTGTGCAAAGTCCCCAGAAGAGAACGACCAGAGGTGACATCTCGGCTGTCTTCCAGTACTTAGCCACTGGCTAGGTGGCTCAGTGGCTAAGACGCTGAGCTTGTTGATCAGAAAGGCCGGCAGTTCGGTGGTTCGAATCCAGAGGTGGGTTCCTACCAGTTCGCACCAGTTCGGTAGAACCGGTTCGTCAAATCTACCGAACCGGTTAGAAGAGGTTCCACCAGAAAGCANTCTGGCAACTCTGCGCATGCGCACACTGGGAACAGGCTCCAGCTGTTCATCTGCCTCATTGATGTCTGACTCTTGAAGGCAGCTGATAACTGTCAGACGGCCCTGGCTGCATCTCTGCCTCCGACACAGAGCCCTCATCAGAGTCTTCCCCAGACTCCAGGACTGGCCCATGTTCCTCCCCAACCTCCTCACTCACTCACTGAATCTTCTGCCAGCTCTGCTGGCCGCTAGCGGGCCATAAAAGGATGTGCCAACTTCAGCTCCCAGAATTCCCCAGCCATCCATGGGAATTCTGGGAGTTGAAGTCCACACACATCTTATTGTTGCCGAGAATGAGATAGACTGGAAATGAAAGGCAGCTTCCAGCATTCGTATCCAGAATCTATTCCTTGATCCCCCTATGAGAATTCAGCCCGATTCAGCCAAGATTTCCACCCAAAATACAGATATATATATATTTTTCCCCCTGTCAGAATATTTGGCTCCATGAGATTCCCATGGAACGGCATTATCTTCCGGTCTTCTCCCCCCACACACACACCCCTGAAATCCCCTAGACTTCATTCTCTTGGAGAAGAGAGGGCTGATTTAAATATCCTTCTCCGTATAATGATTGCAAACATATTCCATTAAACTAATATAAATTAACTCCCTCCCAGCCGTTTGGGGATTGGCCCGCTGCCTTGATTTGGAAGGCGGCGCTGATATGAAAATTAAATAAATAAATATGCCAATGGCCCCAGGGCACGCTAATTGCTTAAAGGAATGTTTAGTTTTGTTTGGTACAACAGAGAACTCGCCGAGAACAAGGACGAGATGTGGCAAAGACAGCCACCGAAAATGAAGGGAAAATGGGGCGTCCTCAGATTATGTCCCCGGATACAAACAGGGGACATTCAACCTGTCAAAGGAAGAAAGGAAGCCTTAAGAGAAGTAATTAAATACCGTGTTTCAGGACTGGGGAAAGATGCTTGCCGCACGGATCTTCCGGCGGACACAATTCATATTCCATCTATTAAACTCTCCTGACCTTTCCTTAACACCATTAAAAGATAAAATGTTAATCTACTGAAGAAATGATGCTTGACCTTTGGAGAAAGGAAGCACACCGGGCCGTCCTTAATAGACTTGATGTTGGAGAGCTGAGCATTATGTGTATCATAACAATATAATTGTTTAGAATAATGTAAGTGTTCAGGCGGGGAGCCCTCACCGACGACTTGTAACATAAATTAGAATCAGAACAAGGTGAACTTCCAGCCGCTGATCACGTTAGCCTGTCAAAACAAACCTCGCGTACCAGCTAATCGTTTTTGGAGCCCTTGAAGCTTTTTTTTTTTTTTTAAAAAAAACATTCCCGTGGTATTGAAATGTATGCTTGGAAAGGAAGGGAGGGAAGGAGGGAAGGAGAGAGGAGGGACAGAGGGAGGGAGTGGGGAGGACAGGGGAGGAGGGAGGGAGGGAGGGAGAGAGGAGGGAGAGAGGGAGGGAGTGGGGAGGACAGGGAAGAAAGGAAGGAGGGAGGGAGAGAGGGGCAGGACAGAAGGACAGAGGGGGGCAGGAAAGAAAGGAAGGGGAGGGACAGAAGGAGAGAGGAGGGACAGAGAGAGGGAGGAGGTCAGGGAAGAAAGGAAAGAGGAGGAAGGAAGGAGGAGGGAAGGAGGGAGGAAGGGGGACAGGTGGGACAGAAGGAGAGAGGAGGAAGGGAGAGGGGAGGAAGGGAGAAGAGCAGGGAAGAAAGGGAAGGAGGGAGGGAGGAAGGAAGGAAGCTCCAAGGTCCTTTCCAACCTTGTTATTCTCTGTTAATAGGTTTTAATGTCCTTTATTCAACATCCTGCTACAACATGCCAGCCACGCGGGATCAGATTGGTTTTTAGGAAGGTAGATTTGGCATAGCAAGGACCTGACTCACAGGGATTAATTAAGAGTAGCAACCTCTAAACAATAACAAGCCCATTTTTTGTTGTGTAAGAGTGAACATAATACACAGTGTAGATGCAATCGGGCGCCTCTTTTTACAGCTCTTTAATTGTACGTATGGTTGGGCGCTCCAACCCTCCAAATTCCACCCGTGCATTTTGACGTAGGTTGGGAACAGGTAAGTACATAGCAATTTCTCTCCTATCTCTGCGGTGTAATTGCCGAATAAAACACCAAATCTATAATTAACCTCGGTCTGGAATTACAAAATAAAGTTTACCTAATTATCATATTAAGAGCATTGACAAGAATGATTTGATTAGCACCTAGATAATTGTCTGCTTGGGGTTTATAATAACTGTTTGGAGAAGGAAGGCCTTGGCTTATTTAAAAGAAAAATTAGCAGCATCTTGGGAAAAGATTGCATTAGCCGTGCTGACTTCCTCAGCAAGAAGGGCCTGAAGGGCATCTGCCTCTGAAATGGACTGAAAACCAAAACCTTGAAGCAAAAGGAGAACGAGGGAAAGAATGTTTGATGAGATACAAATGATTTTTTAATCTTTTCTTCCTGGATCTTTATCTCCTCCTCCTCCTCCCCCTCCTCCTCCACACCCTTTCTTCTTTTTTCTCCTCCTCCTCCTTTCTTCTTTCCTCTTCTCTTTCCTCCTGTTTTCTTCTTTCTCCACCTCCTCCTCCTTTCCTCTTTCTTCTTTCTCCTCCTCCTACTTTCTTCTTTCCTTTTTTCTCCTCCTCTTCCTTTCTTCTTCTTCTTTCTCCTCCTCCATCTCCTCCTCCTTTCCTCTTTCTTCTTTCTCCTCCTTTCTTCTCTCCTTTTTTCTCCTCTCTTCTTNGGGCCCAGTGCCTGACGCGCAGATGCCCAGAAGGCAGAGGAGAGGAGAGCAGTGGAAATCCATGGGCTGGTCCTTGGGGCTATTAATGAAGCTCCACCCTAGCTCTGGGGATAAAAGGCAGGGGGCAGAGATGAATAGATGTGGCAGACCACTATTCGTCTCCGCTGCCGGATGGACTTATTAGCTTGCTATGAAAGAGAAAGTTTTTGCCAGGCGCTCCTAATAAAGGAATCATTGCTTCAGCTACAGTGGGTTTGGGGAGCTGGGTCAGAAGAGGCTGGTTCTCCTACTAGTTTCAGGCCTCCAAATCCACACTCCAGCCAGCCTTCTACAGCCTGCTGTGTGGTGTCACGTTACCGTCTCCAAGCCATAGTCACCGCAAATGAATGCGGGCGATGCCAGGAATGAACTTTGCATCTGATATATCAAACCCAGCTAATGTTTCTCTCCTCCCCCCCCTCTCTCCTTCACCCCCCTCTCTCTTCCAATTCTCCATCGCCTCCGCTCTGTTTTGCTTTCTGTCTCATTGAGCTTCGTTGAGTTCTTCCTCGCTTTGAAGTCTCTCCCCCAAATGCAGCCAGAGCCGTCCACTTACGGGTTTTAATGGACTTCCTCGTGGCTTAGGTTTATCGGGTTCCCTATGAGGAACAGCTGCTGCCTTGTGGCAGCAGAGCCGCTGAAAGAAACCTGGCCAGACACGACAAAGGGCCAAGGAATTCCAGACCCAAAGGCAGGCCTTTAATGGAATCTTCCTTTTTCTGTCTTTTTTTTCTTTTGAGAAAGTCAAGTTATTTAGGGACTGGACTGTCCTGTGGCCTTAGATTAATTTTAAAAAAAACAACAACTAGTGATTTATTCCAGATTACTTTTTTGGGGGACTTGTCACCCCATTGCAAAATAAAAAAGATGTTGAGAAACTTTGGAAAAAGGAAGGGCAGAGGAGGAGAGAGCATCTAGGATGATCAAAGGCCTGGAGACAAAAAACATAGAAAGCCATGGATGCAGGATTTGGATTTGGCTAGTCTAGAGAAAAGGAGGACTAGGGATAGAGTATAGAGTAATTAGAGTATAGAGTAATTTATTTATATGCCGCCCTTTTCCCTGGGGGGGACTCAGGGCGGCTTACAACGCGAAGGGGGGGGGGGAACAAACAATTAACACATAAGACAGTACATCATTAAAAGCACAACATTCATACTATTCGGGTGGG